TGTTATATTAACGCTGGTAAGTAACACAAGACAAGTGTTGATAACCGTTCAAGAGACTATTAGAGATGTCACTTCATATAACAGTTGACAGGGAACCTGAACAAAACACAATTAGGAGTTGAGTAGACAGAAAGTATTTCCGTGTACATATGTATATGAAAATCTCTTATCTATCCACCCGAATAGCGAAGTTTCTATGTTTACTTCTGCAAGCAATCCTACTGTCTCCTAATAAATTACGTCCATATTTTTGATCCGTTTTTGATTATTATGTTATAATAACTTTTACGGATTCTGAAATTAACAAACTTCTTAGGTTTGTGGAGTCCTTTGACAGCTACTTCATCTCTGCTTTACTAAACAATTCGTTTGAGCGATTACTATATCAAATAATAGTCATTCGATTGTTGCTAAACGAACTGATTTCTGTAATTTATAACTGAAACTGGAACACTCCTTTTTTAGGAGGGTTCACTGTTAATAACCGGTAATTTTATGCGAAATCCTTGCTTTTTTATATGATTCTCATTTTCTAATTTATCGCTCATGTTTAAAGCAATCTGAATTTACATATTTCTTTCCTCAGTGCAGAATTATATTTACTGGCTCACAGGAATATTTTTCGTATTTTGACGATTGGGTTTTTATGAGTGTTGTTTTAATTGGTTTTTCTTTCTTGGAGAAATGATTGTTTATGTATACTAGTTTTGTTTGTATTAACACATCTTCTAATAGCACCTCTTGTTTAATTGTTTTTCGAAAATTTGTTTTATCAATTACCGAAAAGACTGACACTACCCTTTCCTGTATTACCGCATCTAACGTGGTAGATAAGCCTTTATGTATAGAGAATATTTTTGTCTGGTTACTTTAATGACATCACTAATCTGATTTCTCCGTTCTTGATGTCATTTCTTACAGGAAATTTTCGATAATACCACTCACTATTTTCTTATAACATTGGTTAGTAATTAGCACTCAGGGATTAATACTTATCTTTTTCTGGTGAAGTTCCTTTGATCGATATAAACTGATTTCCCAGTATCAGTATTCTCTACTCTAGTAGTTATTTCATCAAGCGTCTGTAAATAATGTTAATCATTTTCAGAATGCCTTGGGTTTCTCGTTATTTCTGTTGTGGTACGCACTAAAGGTAATTTCAATACAACTGGAGGTCATCAACCATTTCCACATTATACTAAATATATGACCTAAATTTAGTAGTTATCCACTGGAAAAACTGTTTCGTTTGAAAAATATTGAGAATCTATAATACAACTCTGTTGCTTGAAATAGCCTTTTAAACTATATTGATAAGATATTTATTAATTTAAATATAAAGCATAAAATTCTACTTGAAAGAGATGACGTGATCTCATAGTTGTGTGAAGTCTATGTATGACAAGTATGCAGGGAATGTGCAAGGAAAAAAATATTATCGGTAAAATATGACAGAAATTACTTAACCAGATCGTCTGTTCTATATATGTATGAACCAAGTTTACTGCAAGAATGATTTCAATTGTTCTTGAACTTGCTTTTTGATAACTTCGTCATCACATAAAGCTAGTTTTGATTGTACACAAATAATATACTGCATTTTACATTCTGCATCTTCTTTGCATTCCTTTAGTTTATCTTGGATATCTTTTGTTTCTTGGGTAAGAATGACATTGAAATCCAAGTTCAAATAATGTAAATAGGTTGCAAAAAACTAAAACAAAACATTATCTCTACCGAGTCTGACATTTAGTTTATCAGAGTTACTGATCATATAGTTAGATTGTACACATGAGTAGTGAAAGCTAGGTGTACCGAATCACGTCTTTATCTTGAAGTGATCAGTTTTTCTTTACATATAAAACGTAAGTCCACTAGTTATGGAGATATTTACAAAATGATAAGTATATATATACCCCATTTTTGGTTGGTATGACAGTTTCTACATATTTGCGTTTTTATAGCCAGTCTAGGGAAATCTTCTACAATAAACTGATTTACATTTCTAGTTACCTACGGGTTCATAAAGATAAATAGCTGTGTGGAAAGTAAATAACTAAACGAAAAAATAATTGTGGATTGTATTAACTGCAACTTGCCATAAGTAATAATTTATCAAGGTAAATCTTTAGTATATCCAATTATTCTTCATTCTTCATAACTCAACAAGGGGAAATAAATGGTAATCAAGGGATACTCCCTTAAAGGTTACACTGCACAGAACAACAAACTGACGAAGACTTTGAACTGGTCAAAATAACTTTATCTTTGCGATAGCTTTCTTGGTTTAAATTCATAGACTACGCGCTTAAACTTAATTCTAAGGTTCAAAGTGTACAATTAGTATTTTTAGTATACTCAGTTAATAAGATCTTGAAAAAACAAAGGTAGAGAATATACCTTGTTGAATGAATTATTTTATAAACGAACTTACGATCTCGGAATTTTTCCATCATACAGTTGGGAAGATCAATCAACATTTGTACACATTTATCAAATTCTGTTGCCACAGTAAGAGAATGATATAAAATCATTGATAAAATTAGAATAAATCTTAACATTCTTCCTTGAATCGCAACCCGTAAGGTCGAAATAGATAAAAATAAAAAGTTTATCCTTCACTACTTTTTAAATGAAAGCTATAACCAATCAGAAATACATCGTTTAAATAGACAAATCACAGAATAGTTGAGGTCAAATCATAAAATGGCTAAAACTTTAACAGCCTCATCAAAGAAAATGATGATTACTTACACCCTAAAAGTCGTCTTATAATCGAAATACTAAGCATTTGAGAATTGATAGTAAATGATAGGTTCCATTAATCCTTGTACCATCAATAATACTAGTAAAAATGCAGGATCTCACTGATATTAATACACGTTTATTGTTTTCAGTTGTAAGGAGTTATTAGATAGTCAGTGATTTGGTAAAAGCCCCAGCTAACTGAATAGAAATATGAAGTCTGTAACATATGAAGCGTAAGTTGATAAACTACAATCCTACACAAAAAGCTATCTATATATATGCTTTAATTATCACTCCAGATAAGAGTTTCGTCTTTCTTTTGTCTTGGATTGAAGTGTATCGATAATTTGTTTCGATTTGATAATTCCGCGTTTCGAGCATAATGAACTGTGAATAAAACGAATTCATTCGTATTTAAAAAAATGCTTCTATTCCAGTCTAGAGGAAACTAATGAATTGTAACTGACATAATTTTGGCAGTATAAGTTGTTTTAGAAACCCAGTTGTTATGTGGTAGATTAAAAGAAATAGGTTACTCTTATGTTATTTTGAACCCTGGGTTGGACATCAACTTCATTGTTGGGGTGATTCAGAAAACTTCTCGCAAAAGACAAGAAAGGCTCAGGAAACGCTAAGAAGCATTTTATCCAACCAGCGTTCACTTCAAGTTTAGCTAGAAACATCAAGAAATTGAAAAGTCTCAAATGTAGAGCTTCTGATTAGCTGATTACAATATTGCTACTATGTTTAGTAGCATCCCAGAAATTCCGGGAGACCCAAGGATACCTAAAATACTATAAAAACCCTATATTTTCTGTACTAAAACGAACCTTTGGAGAAGAAAGTGCTTCTTGCGTATTTTTCGCCTTTTCTCTCGTGTTCAGCTAGTTGTGTAGTTCTAGCTTGGGGGTTACGAGAATAGCTTAGGAACCGAATATAGCGTTGGATTAGTAAGACTTATCACCAATGGTCTAGGCACATTCATCTGATGAGTCGCAAATAAGATGGAACGCGAGTCCTGTATTCCATATTTAGCCACCATCCAACTCTGCCTAAACTACATGTGTCATAATTAGAATATCAAGGCAATCAGCACAGAATACAAGTATGCCAAGAGATAGATAAATTAGAGTACAAAACATTAATTGGAAAATTTAAAACACTAATAGAAATGTAATGTGTTTACAACAGATTGATCACTGAATAGTGACTAATGTTATGTATGTCAAGTCCTTCTCTAGTGCTGATCAATTCCTAACAGTCAAACTCCAATGTGGCAACTTACCTGAGTGAATTGATATTGCGTGGTTACTATTTTATCAGTAGAAGTACAACGGTCATTAAAAATTCACTCTGTACTCTACTATCACAAAGATGGTATAAACCACAACAACTAACAGATTTTACCATGAAGATCGAACAAAAATATCAATCGATAGTTTCTACCGTTCGCAAACAGGCTTATCAGTTATATAGTCTGGTTAATTCAACTTTGGCATTTAAACTGCTCAGATTACAAGTTTAAGTATAATAATTCTTGTAATTGAGTCATATACTAGATCCATCTTGAATACTTTGTTCACAATTTCCGTTAATTACTAACATACAAAAGTTGCATTGATATTATAAGTAGCTTTATACGAACACGACAATATTAATCTGAATTAAATTAAAACTTAAACTATAATCGGAATGGGTTTTGTGGAGATTTTAGAAATTTCACTGATTGGAATCATGTATCAATCGAAGCTAGACCACCATGGAAAACCTGGAAGCACTGGACGGTCGTTCCACCCTAGTATGGGACTCCTCAGCAGTGCGCATCCACGATCCTGCAACCCGCGAGATCCGAACCCAGGACCTATCAGTCTCGCGCCAGGCGCTTAACCAACTAGACCACTGAGCCGGCCGGCATCCAACGGTGTTAATGTCCAACTTCAACCAAACCACGAAGTTGCTCCACCGTATACCATTGTCTTCAGTGAGCTGATATCTCACAACAGACCTGGTTGAACTCCACTGGTAACGGCTTCTCACTAGAACCCCAGGAGTATCTCTTGAAGTCAGTCACTAGTGAACAGATGATTATTATCAGAAGTCCTGAAATTGATTAGTATCTTGTTTGAATAGAATCATCAAAATCTGTATAGATAAACAATAATATACAGATCAGTGTTTAGATGATTGAATTCTCTTGACAACTATGTGAAAATATTTTAACTAGTTAAGGCAAATAACAAAATAAACAAGACAAATGTTAAGCATGCAATAATACTTTTGTTGTTTTTGTTGTATAAAATAAACAAACTTTACAATTATTAATTAAAATGACTAAATACATCGATAAATTTTACATATATAAGTCTTATATTATATGAAGCTAACTTCTAATGTTTCATTAAGGATAATACATTCAATTTCAGTGTTTAAATAGTCATTCAAATATAGATTTCCATGTAAATTTATAGTTTTATTCATAGTAATGATAATATTTTCTCAAAGAGACTATTATTATTATTATTATTATTACTATTGATGATAATGATAATATTTATAACGATAATAATTATGATAAACATCATTTTAAATAATTCAAGTTGATAAACAAGATTGTACAGGACAATGATGAAATATCCTTCTGAAGATTTCGTTTCATACTACTTATTTTTCCTAAATATTTTAAATCACGTTTAGATGAAGAAATATGAAAGAAAAACGAATTTTTTCTTTTTTTTTGGTTTTACACACAAATATTGAATGTTGACACTTTTGAAAATTATTTATTACCTAAAACATTATCGTTGAATTCTTTTGTTTAACCATGTTTTGTTTGTTTGTTTTTATAAAGAATAAGCGTTTATAACCTATAGAACAAGATTATGAAAGTTGTACTGGATTTTCTGTAACTGTAAAAGTTTCACCATCAATACATTTTGTTGTTATCATAGTATTACTAATGATATTATTGTTTAAGTGTTCATTTTCTCTAAATGATGACAATGTAGGTTGTACAAGAATAGATTTTGGAATAACAAGACCAGTATTTATTTGATTATAATATGAAGATATTGTAGGGATTTGTCTAGTTTGATAGTCATGATGTTCAGGTAATTCAATATTGATTCTTGTTGTCGGTAAAGAATTTTTTGTTGATGTTATCGGTTGGTTATGTATTGGTTCTATTGGTGCAGCATAGAAATAACCAGTTAAGTATAAATTCCCTAGATTTTCGTTGTTATTCTCATTTTTGTTATCAGGTGTAATATTAAGTAGATTAGTTTTACAATCACCTAAAACATTTGAATTTTGTTCAGCAAATGAATCAAATGTAAACTTGTCTTTCAGTAACGTTGAAGTTGTTGACGGGTTACTTGTCACTGAAGTTGGTGACGGTGTATTGGATAGTAAGTATACACTTGTCGGTATATCATGACATGGGGTGTTTAAATGACATATTTTTGTTGACTTTCGACCAACTGATCTGTTAAATCTGGTATTAGTTGGTATAACATGAGTACATGGTAGATATTCGTAACGTGTATCTGTTGGTGTTTGTGCTATATTACCTGATTTATTACACCAGATAGGTTCTTTTTCATCAATTAAACTCCATGAATGTTTACTTAACGGTTCGCTAGTAGTTAAACAAGTTTGTTGACTTGCATAAGGTAGTTGACCTTTACAATGAGTAGGAATAGTTTTCATATGATTTTTCTTTGTTAATTTAGCAATATCATCCACAACATATGACCAACGATGACATCTACATGACCAAAATAATATAACTGTTAATAAACTGCCAGTTAATAATCCACATATTACTACAAGTATCAAATGTGTAAGAGTGTAACCGTCAGCTTGTGTAGTGTAATGAATTCTTGATTTATAGTAACTGGCTAGGTCATACAAAGAAAAACAAAATGATTAATTAATAAAAACTTTTAAGAGATTCAATAATGAACAGTCAATAAAAATTAATGAAAATTTCATTATATTCCAGTCGTTTAGATAATTGAAATAATGACGTTAGATATAATTTGGTTCATTTTGTAATATTATTTAAGAAGGATATTAAATTTTAAATAATATTTCTGTTGGAATAACTTTGTTCATATCTCATCTTTAAATTCAGTTCATTCCCTGAATGAACACAGATATAAATTTATTTCTTTTCAATTGAGAGCATTTCACGGCTTTTATTATAGACTAGCATTTGTTTCAGACATCATAACTAAATACGCGCTTCGATTATAATTATTATTCGATTATTATTGATACGGTATACAATTCTCAGCACAAGGTATTTTAATAAGTTTCAGAAGAAGGGTGATGGAATAGAAATTTTAGGTGAATTTTAACCATTAAATTCATTTTGGTAATGTATATTTATGAATTGTGTCCAAAGTTTGCCATCTTGCTTCAAATTTAAATTATATGTACTTAAAAATTATAACGATCCCATGTAAATCGAAATTCTGCGAATCTTTGATAGTAATAATAACGATACCACCCTCATTTTTTCACTAAATGATACTTTGAAAATAAAATCAGTATATTACTTTCCGTGTCGAGTGTGAGGTAGTAATCCACTGAGGACAATGAAAGATGATCACGCAGCGTCGCGGATTGATTGAGGTTAGACATTGACATTGTTGGTCTAGAGGTTTAGGATTTACGTTTGAGATTCAGAGTCCTGGGTTCGATTCCTGTGTGTAGGATCGCGAATGCGCACTTATGAGACGCCCCGTTCTATAAGATAACGATCGTCCATTGGTTTTAGTTTTACAATGGTGGTTCAGTTTAGATCGGTTTATCATTTCAATGAAACCATATACAACTACTTAATTGGACGTTTATGTTATATTTGTAAGTAATTAAATGAACTTGCTGCTTAATTACCTGATTTCGGTATAACATTGGATTTTCTAAACCAGCTGTCATCGTCCAAACAAGATCGTTGTTCGATACTGCTTCCAGAACAAACTGCATTGGATCGACATTGCCTTTTCCGTATTTGAATATTAGTAGTTGGATCACAGTCACTCCAAATAGACCAAGGAAGCCAATTTTGATCGAAACCTTCAGGAAAATAAAAACTTTCACAGTTAACTTAGTATTGAGTATAGGTTAAAAATATGTGAATGCTTGCACTATTTTTGAATTGTAAGTATTTGGATTTTGTTTCAATAAATAACAGACTAACTATCCTCTCCGTGAACAATCAGTGCTCATAAAAGCACCCGAATACCATTTTATTAGATGACTTTGGTCTGCTTACGTCGTTCTGTATGACAGAAACAGACAATTATTTACAGTTGTTTAGTCAAACATGACAAGTAAGCAATAATTTCCAGATGAATTAGTCCATTCTCAATTAAGATAAAATCCCCATATTTAAAATCTTTTTATATGAATCACTTTGTAAGTTTTCTGGAACTCTGTAAAAGTTTGCTGAATTGTAACGGTGAAATAAATCCACCACCATCATTTGTTCGCTACATCGATAATTACCTCTCCTCAGAAACTGCCTTAAAAATCCTTACATCTTTGACTAGTGAAATTATATGATCATTAAATGTTTTTTCATTCTTAGTACTGACCTCAATTATTAAATCTCCTTTCTTGCAAATGTTTTACGCTGACACTGTTCTGGCCAATCTAACTAGTTTAAATAATATCTATCCGAATCAGTTAGCTGTAAAACAACCTAGCACACGTATGACAGAAGACCTATCACAGTAATTTTCGGAGTTCTTTTCCAGTACTCTCTGTTCTCATCCTTTTCTTTAGTTGTACATGATTATAATTACTCTGTAACAGTACTAGAATTGTCCTCGATACAAAACCCATATTTCTTCAGGATACTTTTGTACTTACTTTACTATAAATAAAACCGTTTGGATATAAAATTGAGAATTTTGCTACTAATATTGTAGATGAACCTAACTGAATCTTTGACTACAATTATCGACATCGAATATCGGATGTAAGAAGAAATCTTATCATGATAACACAACAATTTTATAGGAAGCAGATTCTGGAATATTTTTATGATTTACTTACTTTAATTACGTCTGTTACTCCTCGTAAAGGAGCATAGGCCGCTCACCAGCATTCCCCATCCAACCCTGTCCCAAGCAATCCTTTCCAGTTCCTTCCAGTTGTAATTCATCCTTTTCATATCTGCTTCTATTATCCAACGCAATGTGTTCTTTGGCCTTCCTCTTTTCCACTCCATTCAGGATTCCAAGTTAGGGCTTGCCTCGTGATGCAGTTTGACGATTTGCGTAATGTATGTCCTATCCATTTCCATCGTCTTTTCCTAATTTCTCCTTCAGCTGGAAGCTGGTTTGTTCTCTCCCACAAAAGGCTGTTGCTGATGGTATCCGGCCAATGGATGTTGAGTATCTTGCGAAGACAGCTATTTATAAATACTTGTACTTTCTTGATTGTGGTTGTTGTAGTTCTCCAAGTTTCAGCTCCATACAGTAGAACTGCCTTGACATTCGTATTGAAGATTCTCACTTTGATATTGGTTGAAAGTTGTTTTGAGTTCCATATGTTCTTCAATTGTAGGAATGCGACCCTGGCTTTGCCAATCCTTGCCTTTCGTCTGCATCTGAGCCTCCTCGTTCATCGATGATGCTTCCCAGGTATGTGAAGGATTCTACATCTTCCAGAATTTCGCCATCAAAAGTGATTGGATTGCTGTTCTCCGTTTTGAATTTGAGGACCTTGGTTTTCCCATTGTGTATGCTGAGGCGTACTGATGCAGAGACTGCTGCTACACTGGCTGTCTTTATCTGCATTTGTTCGTGTGTATGCGATAGGAGGGCTAGGTCATCTGCAAGGTCCAAATCATCTAATTGATTCCGAGCTGTTCATTGTATACCGTGTTTTGCCTCAGAAGTCGAGGTCTTCATAATCCCATCGACCACCGGAAAAAAGGGAGGGGAGAGTGTAGACAGCCTTGTCTGACTCCAGTTCTTACTTGGAATATTTTTTATGATTAATTAAATTAAATTGTGCAGAGGTAAAATCCATATTTACCAAACTCAACCATTACCCAGTTACATAAATTTACGAAGATAAACTGGAGGAATATTTCAAAATAGTAGACAAAAACTAAGGTTTCATCTCAAGATAATTAAACAAACTTATTTCTGAACAAAACTAACTTCTGTCTAATCAAATGTTTACCTTGAAAAATTTCTGTTTCAAAAGAACGGCAAAACTTAAGGATATCAGTTTTCTTTCATCGTCAACTTTAACTAAGCTTCTGGTACTGAGATTTTGAAAAAAATCGATTTGTACTTTTTGGTACAAAAAAATAAAGGTCAACTATACTTAGAATTTTATCTTCAGAATTCTTAAGAATCCTGTAATACAGTGTTATTAGATGGTCTATTGAAATTGTCCTAAAAACGATGTCCTAAAAAAGAGAAATTAGAGCAATGTATTTAGGTAGAGTTGAGCAAGTATTCAAACATTAATTTTGTAGTCGAAGACAACTAATATAATGTTTTAAATATATGTTTCATAATTGTTGAGATCAATAAAAAAATGAGTAACTTCAGTTTCAGGTAAACCTATGTCCACTCAATGGTTTTAACTCGATTCAATTAGGTCAATAATTAATGGCTTCATTTCTACATTGCTCAATATTAAAGGTGTCTTTAAAATGAGCTTGAGTAAAGCAGTCTATCACAATTTTATCAAGAGAAAGAACTGTAGTCTGATGTCGGTCATCGTCTAAAGCTTTATTTCAACTAAGTACGTGTATGAATATAAAGGTAAGTTTATTCACTTGTGAAATCTCAAAATTTAAACGTCGAAACTTACGAGTACAGTTCTTAACCTGCTGGATTCCAAGAACACAATTAACTTGGCTGATGCATAAACGGCATAAACAACTTCCCAGTAATTTCATTGAGATTTTGTCACCAACATTTTCATTGACATCATCAGTCGGTTGATTGTGAATTGTTATAGGAACCGGATCACTTGTTTGTAGTGAGGCAATCCAATTGCAATCGTACCACTTTGTCCATGAATTCTCTTTATCTTTTTCAAATGTAAAACTTTTTGTTGGACATTGATGATTACTTCGTTGTCTATGATCGATCGATGGTGAAAATGTATTTAAACGGTTAATTTGTACGGTAGACTCAAACAGATAACCACTTGAACATCTACCTTCGGACCAATTCCAACCACAGTGAGGATCTTTTGAGTTGAGACAGTCATCAAATGTTTGATATTCAGAGCAACGTGTTAGTGGTAGACGGAATAATTGTTTATTTGTCATGATATGTAAGTAAGAACCCTAAATGAAGAAAAACAAGAAAACGTTCCCACACTTTGAATTAGATTGGTGTAATATTTTGCTCATTTATAATGAAACTAAAACCTTGCGAAGGCTGATATTAGATATTAATTAACATTTAAACTGTCACTTTTACATAGACTGTCTCAACGTTATTGCTTAAATTTATTTAACAAGTTCATTAAACATAAGACAGAGTCATTCTTTGAAGGACCATCAAGAAATATTAAAATTCACAGGGTATTTTATAACTAAATTATACTGAATTTACTGCATTTTAACTGATTTCAAAATGGCTGATGAAATTCAAGCAGAACTTGCTTGTCAAACAATAACAACTCGTTTAAAGATTAAATTTTGAATTCAGTGGGATAGAGAAAAGACATAAATTATTTAATATTTAGGAAGCTCATTACTTCTTAATGCTTCATATCGATTCTTAGAAACTTAGAAACTATAAATTTAGATTGAAGAATGCAAAACTCAAAAAAGTATATCGACTGAAATTGGTGAATGAAGTACTTCTGCTAAATTCTTAAGGATTGTTCTTTATAAGTTAATAAAGAGGATTTAACAAATCGTTTAAACTCGGAAACAAAAAAATTGACTGAAGTATAACATAAAAAGACGGAAGTGATTTAATCATAGACTGTCGTCATTTGAATATTAATTGAAAAGTAGGAGTACTAGGATCCAGGTTTGTCTCAATTAACACTTGTCACCAGCGTTTACCCCAGCTATAACAGAATGTCGAGCCCTAGGTAATCATACGTCATTACAACCTACTTATTTGGCTCGAAAAAAAGTATCCTTTGTCTTTCATAATAATCCACTTTATATTCTGATAATTATCAATTTCACCAGTAAAAGATTAAGGCTTTAGATTTTTGTCGAATAATTAAAATGCTAAATACAATTTAACAAACCATGAAGATAATTAAAACTGTGATGGAGTTAATACAAAAATGTCATATGAAGTTACTTAATACCATAACATGTAAATACATTCCACATAATATTAGCTCAGTTATCAAGTAAGTTAAATCTATTAATAAAAGTTTTAATCTCGCTTTTTGGTACTGATAAGTACAAAAAACTTATCAATTAAAATTAGTTCTTATTTGAATGAATATTTATCAAATATTACCTATAGCAGTTTGTTGTGTGCTACTGATATCGGTAGACATAAGTAGTATGTATTATCAATCGAAAATGAAATACCTGACAGCAGAAGGTTAAGAAAATCGAAGAAAAGAGAACAAGAACAGTGAATGATTTCTGTAGAAATAAAGGAATAGTAAAGTCTGACATGATTGATTGACATTTTACAAATGATGTATTTACAGTATGGTTCTCGGATTTTACTAAAATGTTTTGTAATTTAGTGTTCAAATATATTCGTTTGCCCCCAATTGTGTTCTCATTCACTACAACAGTACCCAACAGTCTAACAAAATAAAATATCATTTTAGTGCACCAATCGACTGGTAACTAAAAACAAATGAAAATCGATACACTTTTCTATGGGATAATTTAACAAAACATCAAGCTGTGTCAATATTCAACTTTTATCAAAGATTCTTTTCAAAAATTAAATTTACAACCAATTCTATATGTTTAGATAAAGTAATAATATTTATTCAATTTGTTAATTAAGACAACTAATCATTCTTATTTTCATTTATTTGACTTAATTAGTTTGTATTAAAAACCAAAAATCTGATTGACACTACGTCAGTCAGTTAATCAGTCAGTTACAACTGTTTATTAAAATACTTTTTTCTCAGTTTTCCCCTTTTTTTGTTGTTGTTTAGATAGAGAAAAAAATCCACTTTCGTAAAAAAAGATGATTGTAATTTCCATACTATTTTGTTTATTGTAATCAGTAATAAATAGAACATTTTTAAAAAAAATAATGAATCAAGTAATTGTAACCAGATGTAGACTAGGTACTGCACAATGTTTTGTTTTCTTTCTATACACAACCCCCCCCCCCCAAAAAAAATTCATAGATGATCAGATAACTTAAAACTACCATGAATTACATTAGTTGCTTTGAGTTGATGAAGAAAATTTTTGATTTGATTTGTATGAAACAATTTTCAGCTTTCAATTTTTATCCTCTACAAATTCTCAAACTAAATAAAATTAAGATTGTTAGATTAAAAGGCACTTCTTAAAGTTTTTTTGTTTTCCTTTTTTCGCTTCTCTCAATTATTTATTACTAGGGGTTGTGTTTTGAATTTATCATTGGAAATAAACTAAATGAAAATTTTTCAAATTACTTGATGAAATACAACAAAAAAGAAAAGAAAGGAAAACCAAGCGAAAAAAAGTTTGTTTACCTGTTTACATGTGTTTATTTATATTTTCTAATGTTTGTGTAACAAAAAACAATCAGTTAAAAGAAAGTAAACAACTTTGTGTCTAATTGATTTAAAATTGTGATAATATAAAGAGCGAATCAAGTAATTTCTCATTTAAAATGATACCAGTAAGAGATATAATAGTTCGTAACTTTTATATATGATCTAATGATTCAATTATGATTTTACTACTTACTTTCTTAGTTCAAAGAAAAAAAATTTAACACGTTAAGTTTTGTTCCTTTGTTCTGTGCCCTCAAATGCCCTAGTACGGCAGAAGGTGGGGAGAGTCAGCTCTCTCTCCTTCTCTAATTGCTCTGACATGGCGACGCATATACCACCACTACCAGGGAAGTCTTACTCAGTGCCTTCTCACGAAGGGATGTTGTTTACGAAATTGAGAGGACGAAACGCCAATGTCCGGCGCTTTAACCAAGTTGGTGAATGAAAAGGGTTCACCTAGAGGAGTAAGAAAACCCTGATTCCAAACCAATGGTGCACATGGGCTCCAGTATCCTGAAGGAACAAAAAGCGTATGAACCAATTGTTGGTCACCGGCTACCATGAGAGTGCATCTCCTGACGTTGTTTTTAGGTTAATGGTGTGTGGTCTCCTTGCAAAACCACCTGCTTCGGTTTGGGCACTCGAGCAGTATCACAGACCACACAAATCAATTGAATTGTGTAGTGCATATGTATTTGGTGCCTCTTTGTACCAATATTTACGTGTTCAAATATTAATAATAATAAATGATATTCTATTGTGGGACTCCTCAGTAGTGCGCGTCCACGATCCCGCTCGCGGGATTTGGTTCATGATCTCAATCAAAAACTTAACAATCTCCACAACCCCTTAACTGATATATGATATTCTGTAAGATTTTTAGTTGAATGATAACATTACTGCGAAGAACAACTCATTCCCCTACGTACAAGTATATTCAAAATTAAAATTATATGTAATAAATTCATGTGAAGCATCATTGACAATATTGAAATTATGTTTCTAAAACAAAAGTGAAGTTCAGAGTACAATTAGCTTTCAATGACACTAACAAAATTCTTTCACATATTCTGTTTCTTCAGGGTTTAGTGATTTTTCATCTGATCTCATAAATAAACAAGTGTTTGATTTTCATTGGAATTTTTGATTTTGTTATCAACAATATTTAGCATATTATTGAGACTAGATAAACACATTGTCCTTTTTAAAAAATTAAAGTATGTTTTCTTAATGAGTCACTTGACAAATCTCTGCAACTTAAGATCGCTTGTTCGGGATGGATAGTTACAAAATAAAAAGTATTGGTAAAACTATGTATATTTACTCTTATCGCCAATTCTCGCTTTTATTGTCCTTACTTGAATTTAGGAATTAGATTTTAATCTAGATTAATGGTCTCAACAGTATACCTGAGGTGAATGTTAATTATGTTGACAGACATAAGTAGTATGTAACATCAACCAAAAGTCAAATGGCTGGCAGTAAAAGACTAAGAAGATAGAATTGGAGAAAACAGAAAAGAAAATAGAAAGGAATTGTGGATTGGAAGAATCAAACAGAATGTAAAGGAAAATTGAGTGAACATTTACACATGAAGCATTTAATCTATGGTTCTCATATTTTACCAAAATATTCTTTAATTTTGTATGGAATAATAAACTGATTGTCTCCGCTTGAGTGTTCATTCATTACATACCGTCCATATAAATTTTTTAATTAAAGATTATAAACTATTAGCCTGGATGAAAGTTTGTTCTGGTCAGGATTCAAGTAAACTCTGTCAATATTTAATGTAGTCAGTTTAATTTCTTTAAAAGTATTGACCAACTTTGAGTAGTCGGTACAACGGTAATAGGAGCTGTTTTATTAATTTGTTTACAATTTCTACTGTTTCCTAATGATAATAATAATAATAATAAGTAAGCTTTCACTGCAAGACGAATCCCTTTGTTAGAGACTACTGATTCGATTAAAATTATTTCCTACTTTTCATATATCCTAGCACCCCTATTTTAACTAAACAATATAAATATTTAGATATTTACTAAAACATTGAAAGATTTTTATAAGAATATGTTTAGCAGTATGTCTATGAAAAGTTTTGCAAGTTTACCATGCTATGAATAGGCAAATAAATGGATTTAAGAGATTTTAAGAGTTGTTCTCTGATGAATCAGCATATATGTATTTTTAATATGTATTTACTCATTAATTAATTTATGAAATTTTGATATTGTCCTAACTGTAAACGTTTGTTTGATCCATTAACTGTTGTGAATAATTCTTCCAGGAATAAATTATAAACTTGTATTACATAGTCCTAATCATGTACATATTTTAATTTATTACTTTTTATGTTCAACTGTAAGCTAATATTTCATGTATGTAATCACATACGTGTTAAGTTTAGCAAAATATAGAACACTGAAAAGTACTAGTCAATTTGTATTTAACTTTTTAATTGGTAAAAAGTAAGTTCTTCAAGTTTAGTTGTACGAGGCTGAAACTTGAAGAGCTACTACAACCATCATTAAAAAAGTACAAGTTTTTATAAACAATTGTCTACGTAAGATACTCAATGTCCTCTGGGCGAATAGCATCAGCAACAGTCTACTGTGAGAAAGAACAAAC